TTCGCTCTGCATCAGCATCAGGGGGGCTTGTTGGTTCCGTGTCCAAGCTCTTCTTACCGCAGTGACAGTGAATACACGGGCGAACACCACTTGGACCATACGGCCGGAACACTTGGTTTTAAATTAATGGCATAGTCGCCAAAGATAAATGCCCGGAGTCGTCTGCCGTTCCAATGCGTCTGCTGCAGCAAACTATCTGCTCTTTGTGTCTTTCCAGTGCTGTCTCAATGTTTGCAGGTTTCTTAACTGCTTCGAATGGATAAACGGGAATGGTGCTTGTGCACAGAATGTGGGTTATGAAGATTGGCCAACTTCATGACACGAACGAGTGGCCACCATGGTCACCACTCATTTCGATCCAAACCTCTGTTGCTGGAATTGGGCCAGTGCGCCAGGTCAGCTGCGTAGCAGCATTATGCATTTATTTTCACTCATAAAACCCAATACACATCACCACCACATTGCGCTCTTGGCGACCCAAACTCTGCACTAACATCACCATCGCCACAGCAGAGTTTGGACCGGCCAAGAGCGCAATGTAGTTGTATGGTGTATTGGATTCCGTAGTGGCAGGGTCGTCGCTACTTCTTCTTCTCAATTTGTTTACTCATAAAACGAAAACAGGGGGAGAACGAAAAGAAACGAGGAAAAGGACAAACCAAAGGGAGTTCCAGGTAATGTGCACAACACCGCCAACAATCCTGAAAATAAACCATGCAGGCCATGACGATCTCAGCATTGGACCCCTTGTGGCCGTCGGTTCTTCACTACACGTGTATTTTGGCACGTTACGTCGTTGCCTGCAATACATGACCTTCCTGTCCGCTCAGACTCCAGGTGTAAGCCGCGCGCCCTCAAACACTGATTTAGCTTTCTTACTTGGCTCCAAGGCAAATTCCTGTCGGCCTTAATTGCCAGTAACGAACCGGCAGCAGGCTGGGATGGCTTCACAGCAGTCCCTTCTAGGAGCTTGTCTCGTTCAGAGGAACTCAACCTGCGTATGCCAGCAACCTCCTGAGCTCGCATACTGTCAGCACCGACACACATTGCTGTCTCTCTTCTGGTCAGCTCTTCATTTCTCTGTCTGATTGTTGCGGTACTTGCAACATTAGATGACACGGATCCCACTGTTGTGCGCTGGAATAACTGGGCTTTTCCACGTGGAGCAGTCCTGACCTGCAGCTTGTCCTCATGCACACGTGCTTGAACAAGATGCTCGACCAATTAATCACCAGCATTTCCGTGCAACTTGGATTGTGAGGCCGACAGGACTTCTGCTGCTGTGCTGGATGTTCGTGTTGTGCGCATATGCCAGTGCGGGAACCGCCTGGACGGTGCATGCATTCGTGCACATTTTGATGTAACGACTTCACTAAGTTACAGGGCATCCACGCAACCCATCTGCATAGTTGTTGCAGTGTATAGCGCTGAGGCTGACTGTTCTGGTGACACGTGGATGTGGATGCAGCAATGTTGATACCAGCACAGCATTCTGGCATGTTGTACTTGTTGTTTTGCTCGTTCAGCTACTGACAACTGCATTTGCAGCGGTGGAGTTCATTGCAGCAAGCTGTTTCCACTGCACCATCCATCCCCAAAATGTACGCTTCTGCACAATGTTCTCGTCTATACATCTTTCCTTTGACAGGTCGGCTGGAGCTGTGTATGATGGGATAGACTTCTCACGCACATTTTCTTCTGGAATGTGCAAACCACTTGTGGTTCGCTGTGCTCACTCTGAACATGTCGTGGTTGTGGTAACTGTGTGGCGGTGTGGCGGTGTGAGCTTGGTATACATTGCAGACTTTACAATTTACCCGCTTATGGGGTATGACCACAGCCTCAACCACACCACATGAAACCTGAGGTGCATCTTGCAATGTTGTTGTTGTTGTTGTTGTTGTTGTGTTTATTTTAATTCGCAAACCAAACGGGCAGATCTGCCCAATGAAAAGGTGGCGAATGCAGATAGAAAGCAGTAATAAATGAAATTGGGGACTGATGTAATTAGGATAGAGGTGGAGAAAAACTAAGCCAGCTGATCATCAAACAGGACGTCTGGTACTCTAGGTACTAAGGCCAGTAAGTGTGTGCGGGATCATGCTGGCGCGGAACTGGCGGAGCGTGGAGATGGCACGTATATCGCTGGGTAATGTGTTCCACAGCTGGGCGCCCCGGAACGCGAGGCAACCCTTGCCGAACCTGGTGGAAATTGGCGGTTGGCGCAGACCCATGGTGGAGTGCAACCTAGTTGGGCCAGCTGCCGAAGGAACTAGGAGGGCTTGCAGTTCAGAACTTGCGTGCTCATTCCGAGACCTCCAGACGAGAACGATGAACTTCTTCCTGAATATCTCGGATACTCTGTAGGTGTCCAATTGCAGCAGGAGGGTACGCGCGGAGGTGTGATGTGAGAGTCCGAAAACCGCCCTTGCCGCCCGATTCTGCATGACTTGTAGCCGATCCAATTGGTTGGCAGTAAGAAGCGGGGAAAACGCGTTGGATCCGTACATCAGGTCAGACATGATGATCGCTTTAAAGTAGAGAACTCGGCTCTGATGAGTCAAGCAGCGACGCAACCTCCATAGTGCTCCGATCCTCTGGGCCAGTCGAGCGGTGCAGCGATCAACATGGGGCGTCCATGACAGATCCGAGTCGAGGAGCACTCCAAGATACCTGGCCGCAGTAACGACAGGAATCGGCGTTTCATGACAGTTTACATTGATCGTATGCTGGGGCTGCTGAGGCTGCCTGTTGGGGTATACAGGGATCACTTGGCTCTTGGCTGCATTCAAAATGAGACCACGGGTCTGCAACCAGTCAGCAAGTGCAGAAACCGAGGCCGATAGCGTAGCAGATACCGTGTCCAGGGATGTGCTGCTGCTGATCAGCGCAATGTCATCGGCAAATTGAACTGATGAAGACTGGTTAGCTATGGTTGGAACTTCGCGGGTGTAGATACTGAAAAGGATCGGTCCTAGAACAGAACCTTGTGGCACGCCACAGGATGGTGCAGAAATGGCACTCTGATCCCGTCCAATACAGATACGCTGAGTACGGCCCGACAGATAGGCGGAAAACCACTTTAGGGCTGTCCCTGTTATGCCGATATCGAATAGGTCCTGGAGTAGCCGTTCATGACGAACCTTGTCGAATGCCTTTGACATATCTAGAAGGCATATGCCAGTACACAAACGCTTGTCCCGTGCACTAAGAATACGATTTAGCATAAGTACCAGGGCATCCTCCGTTGAGTGGCCTGCGCGGAATGCAAACTGAGTCGTGGGGAGGGTACCAGATATGTCCAGAAACTGGGCTAGCTTCTTTTGTACGACTTTCTCCAAGAGTTTTGATAATATGGGAAGTAGGGACACTGGACGGAAGTTAGTGGGAATAGACGGGTCCCCGGCTTTGAACAGCGGGATAACGTGTGCGAGTTTGAAGGCTGTGGGGACAGTGCCATTGACAAGCGAGGCATTAAACAACGTGGCCACGGACGCAGCTAGGATATCGGCACAGCACTTCAGAAGGTGACCAGGTATCCCGTCGCTTCCTGTTGCTTTGGCAGGATTGATTTGTCGGAGAAGCCGTTCTACTTCGCCAAAAGACACTTGGGGCAATTCTGACATTGCAGTCTGAGGCTGTGGACCTTGCGGTAGCGGGATGCTGTGAGGACGGGCATTGTCTGTTACTACTGCCTGGAAGACTGACGAAACTTCTTCAATGGGGCAAGTAGGCTCCACACGTACTCTCTTCCTGTTCGTAACGGAGTTTATGACGTTCCAGAGCTTGCGCGGGTTCTGACTGGACGCGGCAATAACACTTGCACATTCTTATCGAATGTATTCTGGCTGTATTCTGTACATTTTCAACTGTACAGAATATGTTTCAACACTTTACCGCGTTGTATGGCTGCACTGGTGAAATCGCCTGCCTCCAACTCGGCTTACTGGCTCAAGAATGGTGGCATGCGTCTCCACGATAGCTTTTTACAAGTAAAAAACACACATTTCGAAGCCGCCGAAAAATTGTTTCCTTGTCTCGCACAGGATCGAATTTGTTTTTCCTTGGTTGTTTGGGACTCAAAATCTTGCGATATTTCATTACTTACCTCGCAAAAGGTCAACAACCCTTAGTTTGGGGCCCAGTTTGCTTCGCGAAGAAATGACCTTTCATAGCTCGCAATGTCAAGAAGGAAACACATGCCAGTCCATGGATTCTCAACGGAAGAAGGAAAATGAGATATCGACAGAAAGCTGTGCATGTAGGGATGTCAGAAATCACTACTATTTTCGAAATCGGTGTGAAGTAACATAATATAAAAAAATGCAAAATCACGACGCCATATATTTTGCACCCTAGCCCATACAGTTCAACAGCCATGACATGGAGATAATTGACTTTTCACATTATCTGGGTGAGCGGCTACCCGTATTGTTCATTTTACTATTGACCATATTTGTCTGATTGCACCACGGTCTGTATTGTAGCAATATTTCAAACGTATTCTTGCTGCTGCATTTCATATCACATTATTGTATCGTATAATTATGTGGAGTTATTTTGTTATCCCTCATCCTCGATTCTCGGGGAGTTCACTTTCTGATTCTCTTTCTCTCTCTCTCTCTCTCTCTCTCTCTCTCTCTCTCTCTCTCTCTCTCTCGGGGAGTCTCACTGACTCTCTCATGCTTTGGGTCTCTGCAATTTTTGGAATAAACACTGTTTTAAGGGGAATTAGAAGCCTGTTGCTCTGTGTGAGCTAGCTAACTTGGATAGCAATTATTTTTTGTCTACGTAGGTAGCCACTAGATGGATCGATCGCTCTTGTCACTGACCTGCGACGAGGCTGGGTACACCTGCTAATCATGGAACAAAGAGATGATGTTGCCATGCCATCACCATCTTGGGTTCATGCACGTTTGATATGTTGAGTCAAATACCAAGAATAACTACGCCCAGTTTTCTTTCCATCCTAGAAATCCACACAGTCATTGAATACATACCTACAACATTGAGTTGATATGTCTGTGTTGATACTGCTGTATCTGTAGTACACCTGTACAGTCCAGTGTAGGTTGGGTCCAAAGTCAAGTGTGATGATGTGTTCCAGAATAGTCTAGGGGTATCGCTAAAAGCTGTCAGAGTAAATGCTCCCTGTTCAGCTATAGTTGTACTGGTATTAGTATTAGTCAGTCGTAAATACTGACCACTACCACCAGCATCCAGTCCTTGAGCCCGACATGATGGTAAATGACCTAGTCCAACCTGTGCTGTACTTGATCCATTCAGGTAGTAGACTGTGAATGCTGTACTGGCACCAAGCGAGGGGGCTTGTAAATTCGCAGAAACCTGACCTGTACACACCACAACAGCAGTACAACAAAATAACACACATCACCCAGTCACCAAGTATCTCCGCCAAAGACATAAACCACCCCACTCACATAATCACCTTCCTCTCTTTTACACGTATCAACCTTGAACTGCACTGTATTCAAATAACAACCTTGTAATCTTCTCAACATGAATTGGTACATACTGCCATAATGCTCCCAAAAGGCCGAGACCGTTTGGTTCTTCGAGGTGAAAGGTAATATCACGACTCTGATCTTCTCCACTTGAATATAATAGGACGGTTGCCCCTGCAGCAATGAAGTCATTTTCAAATACGTACTTGGTTGCCTCGCATTCACCTGGTGTAGGTGTGCGTTGTACGAACACTTGTTTGAATCCATATTTTTCTCTGCACCATTTCTTCATATTTTCATCGTTTTATTGCCGATATTTAAGGGCAAAGGTAGTAAAGCTACTTCTGGAAATTACAGGCCAATCTCTCTCTTATCATGCATTTCAAAATGATGTGAACGAATATGTTATGATTAGTTGTATAGCCATGTTGCCCCTGTCATTCACCCTGCTCAGTCTGGCTTTCGTCGTGGAGACTCGACTTCCCCGCAGCCGACTCGCCTTGTACAGGACATTATCGGAGCAAGAGCAGAAAAGTTGTACACGGGCATTTGCTTCTTCGATCTTGTCAAGGCGTTTGACACAGTGTGGCATAGAGGTCTCTTGCGGAAGCTTCAAGTCATGGCTAACATCTCTGACACACCGTTCAAGTGGATAGAGAGCTATCTTTCTGGGAGAAGCCAGTTTGTGTCCGTGTCGCGAGCAGGCTCTCCAAAGCTACCCGTGCTGTCGGGGGTGCCTCAGGGCTCAATTCTTGGACCATTGCTTTTTGTTTTGCATGATCTACCAAGTCATGTTTCTGGAATGTCATTGTTTGCTGACAATACAGCTGCTTTGCGCCACTGTAAAACTGTCAAACAGCTTGAGTCAGAATTGCAAGACGCGATAAATATGATTGTCACCCGGATGTCCAGTTGGAGGCTTCAGGCAAACGTTTCAAAAAGGGGTAGGATGCTGAATAAGGCACATGCAAAACGCACGCACACACCCACAGACAGGAAACAGACACACGGGGGATCAGATCTGGACAGATTGTGTGTTGTTCCTGTGAGTTTTATCGATGTTCAGTCCCGGTTTTGTGGGTTTCCGGACTCCCCCACCCGGTTCACCTCCCAGGGGTCTAACCCTCCTCTGCCTCCAACGTCACCGTTACCCCGTGTGAGATGTATGTCGTGTAATTTATGAACAGAGTGAATTGGGTAGGGGACCAAGGGTGACAACGGCTGCCCTGAACGAGCCTGGCCTCATGTCGCCGCAGCTTCACGCCTCATACCAGCATGCACACAGGCAACCATTGCCAACATCACCGCCCATCGGGCTTCTCCCTCCCTCATCATCACTGCCCATCGGGCTTCTCCCTCCCTCATCATCACGGCCCATCGGGCTTCTCCCTCCCTCATCATCACTGCCCATCGGGCTTCTCCCTCCCTCATCATCACTGCCCATCGGGCTTCTCCCTCCCTCATCATCACTGCCCATCGGGCTTCTCCCTCCCTCGTCATCACCGCCCATCGGGCTTCTCCCTTCCTCGTCGTCCCTGCCCCTCGGCTGTCTCAAACCACATGGGTATGTGTAAGTTCATTGAATAGGCAATTCACGCAGAAAAAATGCCCTATCCTAAAAAACGGCAAGAACAGAACAGCATAGGCAGCAAGCGCAAGAAAAAACACTAAGAGACAACAATAAAGGCAACCTCATGGCGGGCGATGGACAGCACCGGGGAGGGGGGGGGGGGGCAAGGTAACCAAAAAATCTATTTGAGGCCGTGTGGTAAGACCCCTAATGAGCACAGTGTCGGGGAGAACAAAAACGGACTGCATGAAAACGGAATGGTGGTGGTTCTGGTCCAAAAAGACAGACCAGTTGGGATGTGTGCTGAAATGAGCCGAAACCGGGCTGGAAGGTTTCTCGGGTAACGGTGAACGGGATTGCAAGCCCACTTGGGCGCCAGAACGGCCACCATGGTGCTGATGGCCAGTCAGGAAAAACAACAGTGGCATGACACGGTATGGCTCTGAGGAAATGAAACAATTTGCTTAACAAGCGAGGTGGGGGGAGACACCAATTGATTTCACCTTCCCATGATTGAGTGAAACAGTCAACAGCCGACGAACCTGGGGACCACCAAAGGGAGTTGAAAGTAGGGTGTTGATGGGACAAATGACTCGCAAATCCATCGACAGTATGGGGGCCCCACTTCTTATCAAAATAAACAAACAATACGGCCGAAATAGCCCAGTCATCCATGTCTGGAATCCGTGAGAGATAGTCAGCCGTGGTATTTTCACCCCGGGGGATCCACTGTGCAAACAGTTCAATGTGTTCGCGTTGACAGAAACGAAAAATGTCAACAGCTTCTTGGTGCAGCGTTGGGTTACGGCTACCGTTACACAAAATGGACACCACGTTCTGGTTGTCGGTATTAAGACAAAATGCATGGCCAGACAATCGCGACACTAAAGAGATTAGGGCAAAGCGGGCAGCAAGAATTTCCCTCAATGAGGAGCTGGTGTGTGCGGCTGACATGGTCCAGGGCCACTCGCCCTTTGCAATTTTAACTCCGTTCATCAGGCTGAAACCACCCCACCCAGAGTCACTAGCATCCGTGAATACCAATTGCAGCGTGCGGGGCCCGGCAGACCAGATGGGTCTCCCGTGAAAATGATCAAATTCAGATTGCCAAAAACTTAATTCAGCCTTAGCAGCATGCTCAAGTGGGATAGCTATCTCCCTGCCTTCTTCTAGGGTTGGGCCCAGACATGTGCGCAAGCTTCTTGTCTGTAAGCGCACCACGCAGCCCAGAGCAAGCCACATAGAGCTGAGCGACCCCGTTAGTTTGGCAAGCAAGGGTGCGGGGACCACAGTGGGGTATGACATAATCTCAGCTAGCAGCAGTTTAAATTTGGATACGCGGTTTGGGGTGACATGAATGCTGTTGTTGGCCGTGTCCAGGACATGACCCAAGACCGAGGCCACCTGCCGGTGTTGAAAATTACTCTTTTGTTTGTTAATGACAAGACTGCATTTTTCCAAATCTGACCTCACAAGTTGGGCGACCCGCTGCGTCTCCTCTGCGGAGTTTGCGACTCCAGTTCCGTCATCCAGATACAGGAAAATACGTATGCCTCGGTCACGCCAATGGGTGACCAAAGGCCGCGGCACTTTTGTAAACACAAATGGGGCGGGCTTAAGGCCAAACGAAAGTGCGGCAAACACAAAAAACCGGGCCTGACCCCCGAACTGCCATTGAAAACCTAGGAACTTCCTATGTTCTGGGGCAATCGAGATGTGATGGTAGCTATCCTTCAGATCAAAAGTGAACAGGAAACAACCCGGATCGAACAGGTCCGGGATGAGTCTCAGATCCTCAACGCTAAAATGGGAGTCTGCCAAATGCTTATTGAGGAAGCGGAGGTCTATAATCAACCTCAACTTTCCGTTGCCCTTGGGAACCATCCCAAACGGACTAATTACATGGGTGGCGTTTTCCTCCACCATCTCGACTGCCCCCAAACGTAACAGCATACGGATTTGGTCAGACACAAAACTGTAATGATCATTAGAAGACTTTAGGTTACATGCCCGGAACTGGGGTGAGGGGGGAGACAAAACACAAAAAATAGCCATAACGAATAAAACGTAAAACAAAATCTGAGGCACCAATATTTTCCCAAAATTCAATGCAGTGTAATAACCGCCCAGGAACGTTATTGTCACAAGCACTTATCTCGTCAGACTCCAGCGGGTCTGGGCACTCATGCTCCGTCCATTCGTGGATGAGCTCATGCAGTGGGCTGTGGTTGCTGAGTCCAGTGTGGTTGGCGACTACTGCCTCGGCCGAGCTGGGGGCAATGCCTGCTGACGTGACCCAACTGTTGGCAGTTCCAGCAACGTGGGCCGCTTCCAGGGGTTCGGCCACCGTTGGCAAACGGTCCGTGGCCCGATGGCCTCCGCTCAAATTGGGAGTTGTTGCCGAAACTGGGGGCACGAAACTTCCTGCTTGGGTATGGCCTCTCAGTTTCAGGTTGGAAGCGCTCCCTGGGCTGCAGTTGCCTGAGTCGACGAGCAGTGGAGGCCGCGTCCGCGATCCGTTTGTCGTCAGCGAGGCTGTCACCCACGCTGCCCTCCTCATATACTCTCACCCAGTCACAGTCTCCCAGTCGAACGAATCTGCTATTTTCAGGTGCTTCTGCCTTTTTGCAGATTTCGTGCTTACCCTGCGTCAGGAGTTCCTTGGCCTCGGGTGCGGAGTCCGGGAGCACCGATATGGCGGCATCCACATTTTGCAACACAGTTTCATCGGTGGCGAACTGGGCCTGCAGCCCTCCTGGCCTGGTGACTTGAGTTTCGGCTTTGGGGCCTGGTTTATTTAGCTTGTTAGGGACTGCGCTGCTTTGAGTTTTGCCACCTCAGTGCGGGCCGCCGTGGCCTCCTCCTGCACTCCCTTGATGTGTTATGACAGGTTGGTGAATGCGAAGGCGAACCACGACGGCATCTCCTCACCTGCCGAGCTTGGTGTTGGTGGGGCAGGTGAGGTGGCGGAGGTGGCGGCTGGGCGTCGTCTGGCGGTCCTGGCAGGCTCAGGATGAGCTACAGGAGGCGCGGTTCCTTGGCTGCGAGTAGACGGCATAATTTATTACTTTAGATCTCTGGACGTCAAAAAAACTCCACGCTCTACGAGGAATACAAGACCACGATGGCAGGTGGGGGGAGTTGCGCAGTGGAAGAGCAGCAGAGCACGACAGAAAAATGGTGAGTGAAAAATACGTTTTTACACTCTTTCGCTACGCTCAGCCGTGAAAAAAACAACACTTTTCGGCTGTTTCCTTTTCATGTGTATAATCTTCTCCTTCTTTTACCA